CCAATTATAAACCCATTAAAAAAAATAAAAAAACCCAATGATAAAAAAAGTAAATTATGTTTAGTGTGATTATTAAAAATAATAAATAATTATATTGGTTAATTAAAAATTAATAAAATAATTAATATTTATTATTTAATGTTTAAAATCAATATATAAGTTAATATTTTTTAAACACCATAACTAATTGTTTAATAAAGTAAATATATAAGCTTATAAAATCAATTAAATCAAACACACTATTAGACTAAGTATTTATTATAATCAATCACTTCAATAGTAAAATAATGATAATTTTCCTTTAATAAATGTAAGATATATTAGTTTAAATCATATATAAACATATAAGTAGAAGAGTAAGCGAAAAAAAAAAAATCTCATTATGTAATTCACAAAATGGAGAAAAAAAGGTATTTACTAAATGATAGAGCAAGCATATTAGAAGAGAGCTAAAAAAATTTAAAAAGAAAGTCATTGAAATATTAGGCGTGTTTATCATCACACATCATAATGTTATAGCCAATGAATTTGCTTAATGATTAAGAATTTGAAATTTCAAATTTAATATCTCAAATTCGAGTTTTGAGTCAGATAGAAAAAGATTTGGGAATGAGGGAGAGTTATTTTCTCTTATATAGTTTACAATCAAATATAAAAAAAAAAATCATAATATTAAAGTGACACTATATTGATTTTAAAAATATTAGTTAGTTTTGTTTATTTAAACTATTAAAAATAATTAATAAATAATAAAACAACTTATATTTGTTACTTAATTGATTAAAATTAACTTATATATTAATATTTTTATAATCATAATAAATTATTTTTAAAAACTAAATTAATAAAATATTAGTAAACTACACACAAGTTATATGATCTCAACAAGGGCCCAATTATGGCCAACGTGATATTGTTAAGGTCATCAATATATATTTTCCTTTCTAATTTGTTAAATTATGTTTTTACTCGTTCAATTTAAGGAGAGCACTTAACTCAAATTCTAAATTTTACCCTCGTCACTCTCGTCATTTTCTGTCTCCTTCACCAAGACACCGGCGAGTTCAATTTTTATCTCCATCTCAATCAACTCTATTATAAAATATAAATTGTTTCATAATTATTCTCTCACCACCTGATTTTATTAATTTTTTTATAATACCTAAAATTTTCTTAATTAGTACTTGGAGTTTTATTAATCTCCTTCTTAGTTTTCAGCATATCGATTATACTACCCATGGTCCTAGCATGCACTATGAAATATTACAAAAAAAAATTTCACCTTTTTTTTTTTCATAATAACTATTATTTAAAGAATCTACATTATTAATGTAGATTAAGGAAAGTGATGAAAGTAAAAGTTAAAAAATATGTTTCTTTAAATTAAGTAAATAAATAAATACTTTAATAAAATAAATAATAAAATATTAATAATCTTAACAATATTCACGGTGAGCATAGTTGAAGTCCTCAAATGACATGTGATCACTGATCACAATCACACCCCTTTTCGCATTTGTTTTGCCGTACATTTATCCCCCACCGTAGTAATGGATATTTATGTCGAAAACGTTTTATAGCAGAGCCGTATTCAACTTGTCACCCCGTAGGCAGGCCGCGGGCGTGTCAATCTGAAATATGGAATCAACGGGACAGGTGAAGAGGTTGGGCAGATTTATATGCCCATTAAAGGAGGAGGGTTTTTC